ATCGGCCTGGTATCGCTGTCATTTATGCAAACTCCTCCAAGGACGTGAACCGATCGACCCGAGGAGATGAGAAAGGATCACTGCTACCAGACACACTCGCTCACACTTTCTCTCTTCATGTTTTTTTCTCACACCTTCGACACTGACACTAAAATTTCTCCCGAGTTAAAGCCTGACTGGTGTATCGGTCTGCCAATATTATATTGGCTTATTGCAGAAATATCGGTGGTAATATATTGGTGTCACTGCAAACTGTATCCAGCAGAGTGCGCTGTGATTGACAATACTGTGGAGAGCAGCACTGAGTAATAGAGAAGAAGCAGCTCTCACCAATTTCAACTAGAATACATGTTAACCTAAATATTCTTTAATAAAGTTATTTGTTTTAGAAAGCAGCCTTCTGAGTACCCTAGTACCATAGTCATACCGGTTGCAGAATTATATCGGCCCCCATATTGGTAATTCCCCTCTCAAATCGATATCGATATCAGTCGAGCTCTAGTCCAAGTTGAGACTCAACAGGATTATCGGAACAGAGACTAAATTTAAACTCCATAGTATAGTGTGCATGTACTTAAGTGCCTGTAAACAATGAATAAATAATATAAAAAATAATAAAACTATATGTAGGACTTAAAGATTTATATAAATGTCAATATACAAAAAATGTTCACCAAAAACATTCTGTCTACCTGGTTTGTTCATAGGAGGCATCTTTTCCGATTCAAGCAACGTTTTTGCTCTGAATTGAACTTAAATAAGCCCTAACCAGTATTTTCTATTAAGGGAATTGATCAGATGATTTCATTGTTTTGGTTTACCGGCTCACAGCTTTACTGTTTGGGTCAGTCTCTCTAAAACCTTTATTCCAGTCTCAGCAGGCAGCTCTGATAAAAACCACTGAACAGCAGACAAAGTTAGCAACCAGCTGGTGAACACAGTGGAGCATTTAGCATCTTAAGAGCCAGATATTTCCCTCAGGAGTTGGTGGAGACCAGAACAGAGTGAATATTGGATGTTGGTCACAAGATAATATGTCAGTGTGTTGTTTACAGCTTGTTCTGTTGCCCCCAGGTGGCCAAAAAAAGATAAGTCCAGCTTTAAGGCAGAATTATGCTTCTCCGTTAAGGTGTTGTTTTACTGCAGTGATGCTTCCATTGTTGCAGCGTCCTGCCACACAAATAACGTACATAGTTACACATCAGACCCACACAGAAAGACTGCAACTGCAGCTTTAATTGGTCAGCTCAGCCCACCACTGATGGTGTTTGTTGACAGTGAAGAGAAAAGGACAATTTTCAGTAATAACGGACAAATTTAAGCTCCAGAAAATGAAACCTTTTCCCTTTGTGGTTTGTTGCTCTCTATCAAAAAGTGAATGAGTGAATGTTAACACATTTGCTTCAGGATGTACATGTATAATGCTGCATGACACAGACGTCTAGTGTTGTGACACTTCAATCGGGGAACTGAACTCTGCGTGTACCTAGGAGGTAACCACACAACACCTCGACAGAGAATCATAAGTCCGCCTTAAGGCAGCACTCCCTTTAAGGCTTTGTACTGCCTTAACAAGAGCAGAGTCTGGGAGAAAGCACTGCCTGAGAGGATCAGTTCAGGGTAAGAAAGTCCCCTAAATTGTGTGTATTGTATCACGCACAAATCCCTGACAGCCCGGATGGTGGGTAGTGTTATATTGTATTAAAGTTTAATATGAATTTGGTTCTTTAGTTTTAAAACCATTGTTTATATGCCAGTGTTCATTTTATTAATAAGATTAAAATCTGATTTTTCCCCGACATACTGTACCGGCTGATATCTGCAGCCCCTTTAGAATAATATCTGCTTTCGGCACGTTGCTGATGATGACAATGATGACAATACTGGCGGCCTTCATCTCACAGGCAGCAACACACACACACACTCAGGCAATTTACGCTGATGAGTTTGGACACGGGCGCATTGATTCATGAGGTTCTCAATAGTCTCATGGTGTATGTGTTTACTCAGTACGTGTGTGTGCATATATGTGTTATTTTGTTGTGTGTGTGTGTGTGTGTGAGCAGACCCCACAGCATTATGATTAGTTCTTTTCATCTGGAGAAGTGTGCTGATGACTCTCGGGACATGATGGAGATTTTAGCTCCTCTAACTCTTACGTCTGCTCCATTCACTTCCTAAGCTGATGAGAGGCTGAGCCGACTGAATAATTTAGACGCGAGGAGGAAGAGACGTTTTATTTTGGAGCAAACTGAATTTTTCTCAGCTTTTTATTTGGCTCCTCGCAGTTTGTCTCTGATCTTGGACGTTTCACTGATTCCTTGCGTGTGAACATGAGAAAGTAGAGAAACAGGCTTTACATGAGAGGTCCAAATTGAAGTACAGATTGTAAAACGCTCTGGAATAAACGTGTGATTTTAACATATGTAAATACACTCCTTCAGTACCATAGTCCTTCAGAGCTAGCTGTGTGGTTTTAAGGTCCACCCATTCACAGTATGTGTAATGGACATGAATCCCAGTGATTTTGGTGATTCGTGATTGTCCTGCTTTGGATACATTTTAATAAATTTGGCAATTTCTAAACATTTCCTTTAGCGCTACGATCAGGTCAATGTTTTATTTTGTGCAATATTTTGGTTCATTACCAAATGTCTTTCTTTTGTTTAGTGAAAAGGTTTGGTGTAGTTTAGTTTAGCTCTTAATTTTAACGTTATACCAGACAAAATAAATAATAATATGTTAGTATTGTCATTGTGAGCATGTTA